ACTTATATTATTAGATATATTATTATAAAACATGTTTTTGTTAAGGAGTTATTGATACTTCAAGTGCAAAATGATGATATAAAACCTTGATAAAAATATACTTTTAAGTATCAATCAATATCTCATCCACACTCACACCCACCAAACTACTCTTATAAAAGTTGACATTGAGCCCTAAGCATAAATTAAACCATTGTAACATTCTCTTGGTATTTAACAAGCATTGAAGGTCATTTGGTAGGAAAAGAAGAGTGTCATCTGTAAAATACAAATGATGAATACCTGTTATTCCTACAGAATCCATGTCATACAGAGCACCCATTTTCAAGCTCCTGCTGATAAGAACTGAGATACCTTCAGCAGCCAAACAAAAGAGAAAAGGGGAGAGGGGATCCCCCTACCAATGACCATAAGATGCTGTGAACTCAGAAGTAGGGGAACCATTGATTAAAACTAATAGTCTTGCAATCGAGACATATGTCATAATCCATTTCCTCCATCAAGCACCAAATTTCATATAGCCCATAACATCAATAAGATAAGAGTAGGACATGGTGTCAAAAGCTTTTCTGAAATCAAACTTAAGAAGGAAACCTTGATAACTCCAAGATTTCATGGAATCCAGCATTTCATTGGCAATAAGGACTGAGTCCAGATGTTTCTGCCAGCAATAAAAGTTGATTTGGAGGGACTAACCACACTCTACATAATTTCTTTTAGCTTAGTGGCGAGAATCTTAGCAATAATCTTATATAACTCATTTAATAAACTAATAGGTCTATAATCATTAAAAAAGGAGCTACCAGCAACTTTAGAATTAAAGCAATATAACTAGTGTTAATACCTTTAGAAAGGTGACCTCTCCTAAATAATTCAAGAACCATTGTGAATAGTTCATGTTTCATTAACTCATAGGACTTCTTATAAAAATTGAAGTTGAAATCGTCAGGTCTTAAGGCCTTGGAGCCTTCACTGCTAAAGATGGCCAAGTGAACCTCTTCTATGGTAATCTCTCTTTCAAGTCATGCAACCTAGTTCTCACTGAGCTTCTAAAAGTCTGTATTACCCATCGTGGGTCTTGGAGTAAGAGATTCAGAGTAGATGTTTGAGAAGTATGCTTTGGCTTCTTCTTTGGTTTTAATTGGATTGGAGAGAATCTTCCCATTGTATGTAATCTAATGAATATAGTTTTTGCATCCCCTAACTTTTATTGAGATGTGGAAGAACCGAGTGTTTTTATCCCCCAACTTGAGCCAAGACTGTCTAGCCTTTTATCTCCATATTGATTCTACATATCTGCAAAGTTTCCATTGCTTACCCTTCAGCTCTATAGCCTTTTTCGTTTAGAATTACACTTCAACCTGATCCTCGAGGAGCCGAATAGAAGACTGGATATTTTACAGAGCCCAATCCTAATTCCCAAACTCAATTTTATTCCACTAGCCTAACTTCAGTCTTAAAGCATTGATTCGTCTGATCACCTAAAAGTCACCAAGGATATCATACATAATTTCCTTTTAGAAAACCTTAAGAATGTTATGGAAAGATAGGGTCATGAGCCAACAGTTTAGACATTTGAAAGGCTTCCATCCCCAGTTAACTTGTTCTTTCCTAACAAGCAAAGGGCAATGATCAGAGAGATCATGATCCAATCTTATTAGTTTCAATTAATTAAAATGAGATGGGCATTGTGTGTGAGTAAAGGATCTATCTAGCCTACTCATAGAGCCACCTTTAAACTAGGTAAATCGATGATTCACTAGCGGGTATTCAACCAATTGATAACCATCAATGAAAGCTTGGAATTCTGAAGCACCTCTCCTTTCTATCAAACCATTACTTCTATCTATCTTAAATAAGATCTCATTAAAATCACCTATTAAAAAACAGGGATAATCCAAGAAAGCATGTCTAAGTTCAATAAGCTCTATCCAAGAGGCTACTTTTTCAAATCTAAAGCCAGCTCCATAATACCCAGTGATCACATAATCAAAAGCATCATCAACAAATGAGCCAAATAAGCTAATCCAACTCTCAACAAATTCAACTAAATCCACCCTAAAGAGATCATCATCCCACATGGCTAACAACCCACCTGA